AAACTGAGAAATCACCCCCCGGGGGGATGGCCACGCCGCAGTCCCTTCTCCTCCATTCTCCTCTCGGGATTTTGGGCACGCACGCACACATGCCTGACAGGAGTTTGAAGCTGCTGGGTCTGGGACTTGAACTGTGGTGGACTATGTGGGAGTCCAGGGAAGTAACCATGGTGCCATCTGCTGGCTCCATAGACCGTTATTTCAATGGAGCCAAATCTCAGCCCTCACCCGTCCTGATTGTTTTGCTGGTCCAGCATCCATAGCTCAGCACCACCCTTCCCAGGGCCCAGCCCTGGTGCTTCTGGCCAGGTTAGCTTGTTAAAGCTGGCCCTGGCCAACTGAGCAGCAGCCGGGGCGAAGGGGTGGACAGCAGTGCCTGCTGCCAGGACTGCCCTTTGGGTCCAGTCTAAGAATTCGAAGAGGCTGCAGATGCCCCCTGCCACACGTGATGCCCCCCCCACACCCCATGCCTAAGCCTCCTCCTCCCCCCTCCCCTTCCACCCGCTCTCCTCTGCTCCTGGGAGCTCCGAGTGCAGGTTCTGAGGCTCACTCCCAATCAGCCAGCAAAGGGCCGCCCCTGGGCCTGTGGAGAGGAGGCTGGGGGGTGTCCAGAGATGTTCACGCCTAGAGTCTGAGGGCCCTCCCCCTGCCTCTCCCACCTCTCCCTACTCACCCACTGCATTCCCTGCTGGGAGCAACCCTACTGAAGCCAAGTAAATTTATGGCATAATCCCGCATGGAAATGCATGGAAATGCTGCCAATTACTATCAAGCCAAGAGAGGAGCTGCGTCCCGGTGCCCTCCGTGGTCTGCTGTCTGTGTCTCCCAGCCTCCCAGAAACCACAGGGAGCTAGAGGCCAGCCGGGACGGCCCCGACTGGGGGAGTGAGGCCATTTGTATAACACTCTTCGCCTCACCTGGCCTTGAAGGTTTGCAGCAGAGCCGCTCCTTCGCAGTAAACCCGAGCAAACCAGGGACTGTCGTTCCCGAGTCTCTGCAAAGCCGACAGCTGAAGCGATTTATCTAACTGAGATCAGTTCATCAAACTTGGGTAGAGCTGAGCCGCTGGAAAGAGAGCAAATCTGATACAATCGCATCTGCTTAAAATGCAAAGGCGCCTGGAGATTTTGGAAACACTGTAAGGCGTCTCAGCGAAGCCAGGAGGAACGTTTACAGGGGAGCACTCGGGCTGGGGAGCTTCCTGCCCTGGTGAGGAAGCCGAGGGAGGGGTGCACCTGTGTCTCCCTGTTGGCCTCCTGCCCGGTCCAGCAGAGGACGACTGGCCTCTGGGACTGGGGTGGAGCCGTGTGAGATGGGCCTGCAGACTGAGGTCACGCAGCCCGAAGCATAGTGGAATCTGTAAGGAGAGGCTCGAGGTGCTGATCGGAACCAAGTGGGAGAATGTCATGGTGAAGCATTCAGGCCCAGGAGTCAGAGGGGTCTGGGTTCAAACCTCGGTCTCACCTCTTCCTCATCAGCTCTGTGTCTTTGAGTGAGCCACTTAGCCTCTCTGAGCCTCGCTTTTCACCTGTGTGAAGTGTAACAATTACTGCTTCTCGGGGAGTCGTGAGACTGACGAGCCGGGGTATGGAAAATACTGAGTCTGCTCCGACTCGGGTACAGCGAGTGCTCAGCCGTGGAGCTAATGTCCAACTGGGAGTCCAGGAAGGCTTCTGGGAGGAGGAGGGGCTCGCCTTGAAGCTCGGGAAGGACTTTAGTTGGTGGAGAGGGTAAGAGAATGCTTCACAATTATAAGGAGAGACATAGCTGGCCACCTGCTTGTCACTGTCCCCACCAGGGCTCCCACAGAAGCAGGAGGAGGCCCGGGGCTGGGCTGAGGCGGGGATTGTCTGGGTAGAGCAGTCTCCCTCCCTGCCCATCCCCCTCCCCTCTGTTAAACCCTCCCTCCCTCCCCATGAGCACTTATCAGTCCTCTGAGATGGGCTTAGCGGGGACCAATTTCCTGCCATCAGTCAGAAGTGGTGGCATTTGTAGGGCAGCGCCAAGGCCTGGGCGGGGCGGAGGGAACTGGTCCAGCCTACCCCGGGACTCTGCTGTCCTGCACTCCCGCCTCTGTCCTCTGAGTCTGTCTGCTCTTCCCTCTGTTGGGAGGGTGGAGGAGAAATGGGCTTCTGGTTCCCGGGGGCAGTAGGGAGCCAGACAGGCCAAGCAGGGAGGGGGTGGCAGTGTGGGGGTGGGGGTGCTGGTCACAAGTGTGCTGATTCTGTATGAGCAGGCTCCCCTGCACTGGGCCCTTGATATTCTGGGTTCCTGTAGCCGTGTGGCTCTGGCTGCTTCAGAGCAGATGCAGGAGATGTGTGACAGGCTCACCCCCGAAGGGAGATGGAGGCAGAGTTCAGGAGTCCAGGAGGGGTCAGTAGAGGCTTTGCCTCAGGCTGTGCAGGCATCCAGGCTGCCCAGTCCTCTCAGCCTAAGCAAGAACATTCTTAATATACATATCTGGGCTGGCTTCCAGACCGCCCTTAGCCATGCTGGCAGCCTCCTCCAGGAAGCTCGCCTGGGTGCAATCAGGCCACCAAGCCCTCTCTTTGGCCAAGAGTCACACTTGAGTCTGCAGGGCTGCCTCAAGTCTCTCTTTTCTTTTTTTGAGAGATTTTTACTATAGGGTACATGAGCTTGCCAGAGAGACAGAGGGAGACAGAGAGAGACCGAAAGTGAGAAATCACCCCCCTCCCCCACCCCCTGGGGGGGATGGCCATCCCTCAATTCTTTCTCCTCCATTTTCCTCTCAGGATTTTGGGCATGCACGCACACGTGTCCCGCATGAGTTTTAAGCTGCCAGGTCTAGGACTTACCCCGTAGGCGTAGGCGAGAGTCCAGCAACGTAACCACTACACCACGTGCTGGTCCCAGTCTCGCTCTTCCCATGGAGTTACAATTTATTGAGCACTTGTTACATGCCGAGGCCCGAGCCAGCACTTGACATATAATAACTCATTTAATCCTTTGTCAAGCTGGAGAGGTGGGCATAATTAAAACCGCTCATCGAGGAAATGGGTTCTGAGAGGCTGGGCCTGTGCTCGGGGTGTTATTTAAATGTCATTTCCTCAGAGGTGCCTTCCTGGACCCCTGTTCCTAACAGTCCCCTCTTCTGGCTCCATCCCTCTGCATGTGTTATTTCTCTTAGCTTGCTGTCGGCCTGCCCGCGGGAGCGCCGTGTGGGCAGAGACCCTGTCTGTCTCGTTCCCCTTTGTGTCTCCAAGCCTAGGACATCTTAAACCAGGAACACAGTTTGCATGGACAAGAACGCCCGAGTAAATCAACGGGGATGAATGAATGAGTGCTGCATGGTTCGTCATGGCGGAGAAGGACCCCACTCCACAGATGTCTGGTTCACAACGCGCCAGTCGCTCGCAGCCACCACACGGGTGGCCCTCGTCACCCTCGGAGGTACAGAGGCCCGAGGTGGGGATGGAGGGGCAGCCTCTGGTCTGGGGGTCCAGCCCCGACTGCAGCTCTGGGCTCCCTCAGGGCTGGCTCCCTCAATTGGAGAGCATTAAACTGAAGATGCCCAGTTTAACCCCAGCCCTCTTGCTGTAAGTGGATGGAGAGAGAGAGAGAGAGAGAGAGAGAGGAAGAGAGAGGGAGAGAGAAGGGGGGAGAGACAGAGAGGATAGTCTGAGTCCCTGGGGCAGAGGCGGAGGGCCGGAGGCCAGGCCTGGTCTGGGATGAGCGGCGACGCCTCGTGCAGCCACAGCCTGGGCCCTCGCCTCGTCCAGGCCAGAGCGACACGGATGGGGTGGACCTGCTATCAACACTGCACAGGGCCGGGCGGCTGCTGCTCCGGGGCTCAGGCTGAGACGGGGTGGGGGAGGGGCTCCGTTTGTCTGGGAATGACAGGGACTGGAGAAGGGCTTTCTGGAGGTGAGTGGCAGGGGAGATAAGCCTGTGTGTGACTTGCTGCTGCTTGGTTGGTTCGAAAATGAGTCTTGGGCCCAGATACAGATTGACAGGGGGATCAGAGGGGGCCGTGGCTTTCTGCCTCTCCACTTTGAAAAAGGCCCAGGCAACAGGGGACTGGGTCCTAGTGCCCGGGAGGAGGTGGCTGTGCCCTTGGTCACCTTGGCCAGGTGGCGGGGGAGCACTGCTCCAGACTCGTGCATCTTGGAGGCAGCCCCAGTGTCTCTCAATGTCAGGACTAGCCTGGGCGTCAGGACTAGCCTGGGCGGTGGAGGAGCCCGAGAGCTCGGCGCTCACAAAGAGCTGGGAGCGTGTGGGTGTGCGGCGCTCCCAGCTGCCTGCTCCCACTGCCCTCCACACTCTGTGCCCTGGCCCTGCCAGGCGCGGAAGACCAGGGTGCCTCCAGGGCTCCCTGTCTGCTGGCTGCTGGCCAGTGGCAGGCATCGCCGGCTGGGAGAACTGGGCCGCAGGCTCCACCCCCGACCTTACCCTGCCCTGCGATGGTTTGGTAGCTCGGAGTTGGCGAGGGCCTCTGCTGAGGTCACCGCTCCTGTCCTGCAGCTCTCAAGGCCTCACCCCAGCTGCAGGCTAGGGTCCCCTCCCTTCCCCTTTAGGCCTTGACAGTGACAGCCCCACTCTCACCGCCAGGGTCCTCTCCTGGCCTCCTGATGTCCTTCCATCCTGCCTGCCTCCGCGGTAAGTAGTCCCTTTATTAACTCCCGGCCAGTTTGAACGTGGCCTCTCTTTGCTGCAGCGCCGGCCTTGGTCAGGAAAGCAGCCCCTAGGGTCCTTAGACTCGCTAGCTCCAATGGTGTTTGGAGAGAATGCCCCCAGCGGTCCCCGCTCCTGCAGCCTCCTCTTAGGTTGCACCCCTAGGACCATCTTCCCATCCAACCTCCGTATTATCCCACTGGGTGGAGGCCACCAGTGCCTGGCCGGTCATCCACTGGCCTCTGACCCTACTTCTCTCTGGGCTTCCATTCTGACCTTGACGGTGGGGCCTGGGAGGGCGGCCCCTTCCATGGGCTGGCGGAGGAGAAACCAGAGGGTGCTTGAAAGCGACTCCTGAAAATGCAAAACCTGCACGTGGTGCCCCTGACAGGAGGAGCAGGAGCTGTTCCAGATGAGGGTGCCAGCCCAGACACCGGGGCTGGGAGGAGGCTGTGCTGGCCCCGGAGAAGGACGAACCAGGCCCTTGGCTCTGCAGGCCTTTGGGATCCCGCCACGCTGGTCCCGTCTCTGTGACATCCCGGAGAGCCACTTCCCGGACAGGGACGGAGACTCCTCAAAGAGATGGGCCGCCGCCTGCCGGGCGTGTGCAGGAGAGCCGCCTCCAGGCTGGGCAGGGCCAGGGCCACCTTCAGCAGCACAGCGAGCCCCGAGCCAGCAGCCTTCGAGGGGCCCTCGGCATCCCGCGGTCCAGGTCTCTGCCTGAACTCTTCCCTGCAGCCTTTGGGGCCAAAGGAAGCAAAACAACTTTTGGAGCAAGGAAATAAAAAGGCGTCGGGGGCGGCCCTCGGCGGAGGGATACTGGAACGGCTTTGCTGCGGGGTTTCCGAAGCTGCTCTCCTGCATGTGCAGGTCGGCGGGACGTCGGGGCACAGGGAGAGCCTCACCACGGGGTGCAGGCGGGTGAGAGGCGCCCGGCTCTGCCTTTCTCTCCACTCTTCTCAGGCTCTCGGGTTTCTCATCTGTAAAACGGGGCACCTGATAATCGGACATTAACCCCTTCATGGTGTCCCAGGTGGGCCTCTGAGGCCACGAGGGTGGGCGTGTTTTTTAAAAATTTTTAAGAGGTTTTTGCTATGGGGCGCGTGCGCTCGTCAGACAGAGAGAGAGACAGAGAGACAGAAAGTGAGAAATCACCCCCCAGGGGGGGATGGCCACGCTGCAATCCCTTCTCCTCCATTCTCCTCTCGGGATCTTGGGCACGCACGCATATGCGCCTGGCGTGAGTTTAAGCCACCAGGTCCGGGACACGAACCACGGGCAACTACGTGGGAGTCCAGCGATATAGCCATTATGCTAACTGCTGGTCCCCGAGGGTGGGCGTGTTTCTAAGGTGGGGAAATGAGGCAGCCAGCGGCTGCCTGGATACAGACCGGAAGAGGGACATCACGGACAGCGCCCTTGGGTGCCGGCAGTGCCTCGGTCCGTGGCTCCACGAGTCTTCCCATAGTCGCACAGAGGGCTCCTCTCGGTGATCGCGTTGCTAGCAAAATGCCTGAGACTGGGCGATCTGGAGAGAGTTCACTCAGCTTGTGGTTTGGAGGCTCTGGGCCCAGGGGCCAGCTTCCGGCCAGGGTGGCCTCGGGGGCAGGAGGTGGAGCAGCGAGGCTGTCTGTAGATGTCTTTGTTCTGGCCCGCGTCCACGAGGCCACGCTGCCTCATTCCCTCTCTCTAGAAACACCAGAACTCAGTCATGGAGCCGAGCACACCACAGGCCCCACCTGGGACACCGTGAAGGGATCGTAGTTTTACTTAAAGCCTTTACAGTAAGGCCAAGTCCTGGCGCACGGACTTCTGGGGGTCCCCCAACCACTGACCACTAAGATCAAATTCCAGAACAGGAACCTTTGGAAGGTAAACCATTGTTCAAGCCATGGCCACCAGCAACCAGCAGTGTCCCTAATGCCCGCTGCTCAGCACAGATGCCGGGGCGCGGATGGCAGAGCCAGGATGGCAGCCCAGATGGCAGGGCTGGCTCTCTCTCCCTCTGTCCTTGGCACTCCGAGGAGCACCAGGCAGGGCTCTCACCTGGGCAGGGGTGCTGTGTTCCTTGGCAGTAGCTTCCTGGAAGGTGAGTGGCCGCGTGGAGCCGAGCTGAGTCAGCCTGGCTGTGGCCTTCCTAGAGGAGCCAGAGCCTGGTCCACCTGCCCTTGACCCATCAGTCAGCATCAGCCACGCCAGGGCAAGAGGGGCAGAACCAGCCACTCCCAGACTCATGAGGAAGCACACATGGTATTTTATTTGTTCATTTTCTTTAAAAAAGAATGATTTTATTTAATGTTATTTATTTATTTACTTATTATTTTCTAAATTTGACCAGAGAGGGACAGAGCGTGCACATGTGTGTGTGTGTGTGTGTGTGTGAGAGAGAGAGAGAGAGAGAGAGAGGGAGAGAGAGAGAGAGAGGCAGGGGAGAAGCAGAACTGCCAGGTCTGGGACTCAAACCGGGCTCCACCACGTGGGAGTCCAGCGCCCTTAACCACCATGTCACCTGCCGGCCCTATTTATTCATGTTTAAGAGAGATTTTTGCTATAGGGCGTGTGTGTTCAGCAGAGAGACAGAGAGTGAGAAATCACCTTCTGGAGGGATGGCCGTGCCACAATCCCTTCTCCTCTAGTCCCCTCTCAGGATTATGAGCGCACACACGTGCCCAGAGTGTTTTTTAAACTGCCGGGCTCAGGACTCAAACCACAGTTGGCCATGTGGGAGTCCAGTGACATAACCACTATGCCATCTGCTGGTCCCTATATATAATTAAAAAGTTATTTAATTTATTCTTATTATTTTTACAATTTGCTATAGCGTATATATGCTTATCAGACAGAGATAGTCAGACGAGGTGAGGACTGGGAGGGTATCTTGTAGATCCGTTGCATGGACAATGCTCTCCTGCCCCCCGAGCCTCATCTGGGCCTTGCACATTTTCCTTGGAGGGCTTTCCCTGCTCTCTAAGGCCCTGGACTGACCATGAATGAGGTCCTCTTCCTGGCTGTCCCCTGAAGAAGCCAGACACGGCACAGAAGACATGGAGCTCACAGCAAGTACGGTGGCTTCCATGGCCTCCTCTGCCCTACGGCCCCCGGCCCCCGGGAGAAGCGAGAAGGGATTTGCCTCAGGACAGCGAGCCCCCTGGGGTGAGTTCCCTCCCACTCTCCAACC